TCAAGGAATGATTCATCTTTTGTGACAATGACTGACACATAAAGAATGGAAGTGCATGTTATCTTCTTCCTGCACTTCAGTGAATCCAGCACAGCACATCAGTCCTGTGTTTTCAGATAGATGGGGCAGTGGCCGATGCCCTTATAATATCCTTGCAAGAGGTGATGACATCTTGAAATGATATTGAGCATTCTTCGGCTGTCATTAAGGTACAATGGAAGTGACAAGAACACTACGCAATCCCGTTGCTTCATTCCTTACAGCTGCTAATTAGGACATGGTTTTCCCTGGAAAATGTGACAAGACTTTCTGTAGGTTAACAATCTGCTTACACTTTGGTTTATTTCAACGTGATCATGTTCAGACCAGTAATTCCGAACTTGAAACTTTCGCCACCCCAGAGATAAAAGCAGATGATTTCTTTCTGTACTAACCAATGACTGAAAAATCCATTCTGTACAATGAATTCGGTCACTTAGTACAATTATTAATCCTCTTGTGGGAATGTAATAATAATAATCCTTCCATTTGATATAGCGCCTTATTACGTCTTCGAGATGGCTCAAAGTGTTTCACAGAATATACTGTAAAGTGAATTGACTGTATATTTGTGGGAGAACGCGGCAGCCAATTGCGCACAGCAGTGTCCCAAAACAGTCGTGGATTGAAGTGACCAATTTCTTCTTTTTTTTTTGAAGGAATTATTACCCCTGGAAAAGCGATCCGCCAATCAACTAACAGCTGGGTTCCTACTTACTGCTAGATAAACAGAAATGTGTGGAGTAAGGAAACTTACCCAACATTTCGCCGTGCCGGGAATCAAACCTAGTTGTCTCACTTGCAAGGCAAGCGTTCTAAGCACTAAGCTACAGGACTCTGCAATATTCACGCAATAAAGACATGGACTGAACTGCTAGCTGGGACAAAAACTAATCAAGTAAAGTTCCTGACCGAAGACTCATTGCAGAGCTAATAAACAAATAACAGCTACCATTGAGTCATTTCAAGACAGTAATCAAGCCTCAAGCTTCATTCAAGATTTATGATGTTTCTGAAGTCTTTCAGAAGATTAGTGCCTGCAGTAATCAATCCCTGGTCTCTGGCATTTTCTGTGCAATGTTGGTTGTGGATATGTCTGTAACTATTGCAGGACCATAAACTTTGGTTAGCCGGGTGTTGGACTCATGAGGAAACCCATCACTGTACTTAAGCGTTTCCAGACCAAACTACAAAGAGTTCCATATATGTACGTTTTTCGTGACTCTGCACTGTCTCACTGGAGGAACGCACCCTGCTTATTTAATCCTGGAGGATTTAGCAGCAGGTTGGAAAGAGCCAAGGCTTGGGGACTCCAGAGTCTGCATTGGGATACGGCTGGAGTATAGTTAGCTATAATCACACAGCTATCCACTGCTTGTCCAGAATTCCTAACGGTTAGGACTTTGGCTACTTTTATCCTATCAGGAGCCAAGTGCTAAAAGGGTTTAAATGGATTCAGTTTTTGTCTTTGTAGAGTTATTTGGGGAGAGGATTCAAATTTGTTTAAAATTGCATAATGGTTGCATATTGACTGCTTGCATTGTTCAAACTCATTCATTATTCAGCAAGGGGCATTCAAATTTTGTTACACAATGTAAGATTAATATTCACGATATAACAGTGCACATAGATAGCACTATTATTTATTTGATTTTTTGTAAAATGAGCACTGCCCACTGAATAACTGATCCAGCAATTGTTTTGTCACTGAAAGAGACTTTTGGTTTGGCTTAATCACTGACTTCTTCAGCAGAAAAACTAGTTTTACTTTTTTAAAAAAGACATAATTACTGGAATTGAAGTGGCTGCCACACACAATTTCACTTCATGACACCTGCCTAGACAATACCTAGCATGTGTCCAGCAGACGGTGGATAAAGTTCCTCGCTGGCTCTAAAACTGTGAAGAGAACAGAATGTGGCCTATTTTTTCCTTCATAATCAAAAACGTTGATGGATCAAACTGTGTAATAGATACGTCAAGCAACATCTGCCGTTTCTGTGTCATTTCATACTGATATGTAGCATTTTCACCTGTCCCTCCTCCCCACCCCTCTTAAATAAACAACAAACAAACAAATTACATTTGTATAGCACCTTTCACGTCGGGAGGATGTTCCAAGTTGCTGGACAGTCAGGGATTTGGACCTGAGCTGGGGGTTTGGGATCAGGAGGGGTGGAGGGCAAGGAGGGCCGAATGCACGGTCAAGGAGGATGGTCTTGAGACGTGCTTTGAAGGAGACAAGGGCGGGAGCAAGACGAAGGGACTGTGGAACGGAGTTCCAAAGAGTGGGGTCAGAGAAGCTGAAGACCCAACCGCCGATGGTGGGGCGGACCAGGCGGGGAACATGGAGCAGGCTGGAGCCTGCTGAGCGGAGGGAGTGGATAGTTTGATATGGGGTTTGCAGGTTGCGGAAAAGTTAACAGACAGGTCTACAAACTAATTTCTGGATTATTTGTCAGTGTTGAAATATTTGTGAAACTTTTTTTTGGGTGCCTTTATTTATAAGGAAGATTTGATAATAAGTTTAGGGTTTCAAGCTTTGTTCCCATTATCCGCATACGATTTGTGAACGAATTATGTTCTCATGCTGAATAAAACTAAAGACATCCTTTGTAGGAGCTCCTATCAGACAACAAGCATGTTAACCCGATTGGAATTGTCCTTTGTCTCATGTGTTCGTCAAAGTTCTAGTAAAGTATTTCACTGACTTGAGCTGCATTTATATCACTAAACTAATTCCTGTTTTAGAACAAATAATTATTGACCATTTAAACCACGTTTCGGTGTTATCCCAAATCACAACTGTTTCACATCTCCTCAGGAGCTGGGAAAGGTTAATAGCAGTCTGTATGGGGAAGGAATTAACACAAAAGCAAGCACTTTGGATTTATGTTGCCCTCAGAGATGGGACCATCACTGGGGAAAGGCAACCATGTGAACTTGAATGTTGTGTTAATGAATTATCTATTTAATTATTTTATATTTTTTATTTTTAAATTGGCCTAAGTAGGGATCAACTTTGTAGATACTACAATAAATACAAAAAGCAAAAAAATGTTTCTGGATCAATAAGGTAGACAGAGAGCATGTTGTGCAAAACATATACATGTGTGAATGTTAAGTTGAAGAAGTCAGCTTCTTCCAACTTGCTTAATGTATTGCTACTTCACCTACTTAAGATAAGTAAATAAATAAATACTTATGATAAGTGGTGACCTCCTACCCTTTTCCAAGGCTATCCTGTTATTCCTTAAGAAACAGAGAAAACCAGATGTGTCCTATCCCATGACTGTCAACATTTAACATAAAATCATACATTTTATACATATTCGTATAACATAATCCTGAATAATATTCCATTAGAAATTCCTTAAATTGTTATATTGCATGGAGTCCTGTAGCTCAGTGGTTAGAGCACTCGCCTTGTAAGCAAGAGACCTGGGTTTGATTCCCGGCAGGGTGAAACCTTCGGCAAGTTTCCTCACTCCACACACTTAATAATAATCCCTCAAGAAAAAAAAGAAAAAAATTGGTCACTTCAATCCACGACTGTTTGTGGGACACTGGAGTGCACAATTGGCTGCCGCGTTTCACCCACAAATATACAGTCAATTCAGTTTACAGTATATTCTGTGAAGCGCTTTGAGACGTCTAGAAGACGTGAAAAGCGCTATATCAAATGCAAGGATTATTATTATACGTTTAGATGGAACAGTCTGGGGTCCCAAGCCTTGACTCTTGCCAACCTGCGCTTAATATTTTCCGGAATTAGGTAAGCAGGCTGCATCCCTTCAAAGAGAGTGCACATTCAACAATCCAACAATCTATCTCTGGGATTTCCACGTGTAGGTGGGATGCGTGGAAATCTCAGCTTGGGTTGGATACTCTTAAGCATGGTGACGAGTTTCCACATGTGTCAGACACCCGGCTGACGAAAAAAAAAATAGATGGAACCCCTAATAACACAATGAACTCTTTAAAAAGTGTTTTGTTCATCTAACCAGTTGCTTTCCTCTTCTCATTGACATTGGATGATCTTTCATCGCTAAGGTAATTATCTTATGACTGCAAAAAATGGAAGAGGCTCATCTATAGATGTTCTCTTGTCGTGTGTGGCAAGATGGCAGCAAGACCACCATTCAGCTGCTTTTGTTACGGTAAGTGTCATATATATTTGATTGAATATGCTAAGTACGTACCTCATAGTACCTCACTTATTCCTTTGTACAAAATGCAAAATACTGAAGATGCTGGAAATCTGAAACAAAAACAGAAGTCACTGGGAACACTCAGCAGGTCAGGCAGCTTCCATGGAGAAAGGAAAGTGAATCAATGTTTCGGGTCCACGACCATTCTGACGAAGTTCTGACGAAGGGTTGTGGACCCGAAACATTGACTCACTTTCCTTTCTCCATAGATGCTGCCTGACCTGCTGAGTGTTCCCAGCGACTTCTGTTTTTGTTTCTTATTGCTTTGTAGCTTCCTGTTTCATCATTCATAATAATAAAGGTTGCAAACATATTATCATTAAAGTAGTTATCATTAAAGTAATTGATAGCAGAACATTTATTATCAACCTCGATTAAGAGAGCAAAATCTTAAACGTTTTATTTATTTATTTTTGTGTTCCCTCCGTCCTGCCCCGTGGTTCAGTTACTCTTTCCCTACCCCAGCTCACAGCAGATATTATGGGAATGCAAATTATTTTGATTTAGATAGATTCACTCAGGTCAAAACAGTTGCACTTTTATTGGGCTTTAATGCAGATCATTAATTTTTGACAAACTACAGCCTTATTAAAATAAATTGAGCTTTTTACTTTGCTTACTGCTGTGCAAGATATCTATTTTGGCCTGACATTATTATGAATGCAGAGTCATAATTAGGCTATTGAAAACCACAAGCACAAGAAGAGTGTTCTGAAAAAGTTCAGAGTCATCAATAGAAAGATTTCATACCTTTATGGTGGTTTGCAGCTGATATCAATTTTCCCCAAAGGGTTATCACACATATAATAAGCAGCAATGTCCCTTTAACCATCCTTTAAAAAAAGAGAAGAGAGGTTGTCAATGTTTGCCATATCTTGGACTTTTCATGGGTCATAACGTAACTCTTATCACAGCATTCTACTTTCATTCATTCAAGCAATCAACACTAAATAAAATAGAATTTATCAGAAGCAAGAGAAGTCAAGCCAAAAACTTAGCAACGAGGAGATAAAGAATATCAGTACATGAGGAGACCATTCAGGGTATCATGTCTATACCTACTCCTGCCAGTTTTTCTAAGGTGCCTTTATTCAGATCCTGTTTTCCAGCTATTTCCCTATATCCCTTAATGTTCCTTCAACCAGCATTGCCAGCCGTATAGTGCATTCAGGCTAATGTTTAGCATAGATTGTGCCGAGTTCAGCAGGATTTGGAATGCATTGCAAAGAAAAAAAACTTTGCTAAATAAAACTGATCGACTATGGACTTCATCAATCTGTGCTTTAAGATTTATAGCTTCAGGTTTCTGCATCATTGAAGGGTTCGCTCCAGATGGTAAATTGTCCAATTTCATTTCAGCACAAAATAATGCTTTTATCCTGATGAATAAAAGTGACAGTAATGCCATGTATTTGCACCATTTGAACGCTACTCTAAAATTCATTTGATATCCATTTATGTGTGCACAAAGATGCTCAAAATATGGACCGTACTCCAGGGAAATGTAATACAATTAGCAGAACAAATAGCACTAATGCAAATGATTTTCATAAATTTTAATTTTTTGTATGGAACCCAATGTGGCTCAATCTGCACTTCACAGGAAACCTTTGGGTATAGGCTGTGCAGTCACTTTCCAAAAGAACACAAACATGGATTCTGTCCAAAGTTCTTGGCTTCTTGGACAAAATCCAGCACGCATTAAAGTCACCAGTGGCTACAGGGAGAGCTCTGTGAGGAGTGAGGGCGAAATTTTATTACTGCCATGTTTGCCTATGTCAATATTGATTCCTAGCCCCACGATTGAGAAAAAAAATTATTTGATTCACTGGTGCGAAGCAAAATGTATGCACCATAAAATGAATGTTCAGATTTTTATTCTGCTGCCACTTTTATTACTCCATTATGGCTGATTATGCTGCTGAGATTTAACAAGTCACTCCCCTCACTCACAAGGTAATCCCTGTATATCATATAGAGCCTTTTTGTGGTGATAGTCTATATGATATACAACATGTACATTTATCATGTTGTATATCATACAGAGTCGTATCATGGTGTAACAGTTTATTCAAAAATAAAGTTCAGTTCCAAAAATCTTTCTACCCTATTTCCATTTATCAAAAACAGTTACCGAACAGAAATAAACTAAGTACTGTATTACAAAATATATTTATTGTATCTGGTTGTAAAGCACATGCATATTTGTGGTTTCGTGATCATTGCTGTAGAACCATTAACAAGCTGAAATTTAGTTACCTTGACTATTCACTTAATGCTTTTGGGCTTAATAAGCAGTTATTAGAAGTTTTGTTAACTTCTTCCTTATTAAGGATGGCATGTGGTGTAAATCCCACTGCTGTCTTTGTTCCTGGGTGGTGCCAGCATTACAGATGTGGGCTGCTGTGACATCCCAATGAAAGTCTGTAGAGAAAGAGTTGTTAACGTTCCTGTGCAAAATAATTGCAAGTGTTTGCAGAATAAGATCAGTGGTAGGTAAAGAATGCACTGAGGTAGATGAGCACAGGAGGAGATGAGCCTCTTGTACATTATGATCTGCCAATGTGTTCTATTCATAATGCGGTTTTGTTATGTATGTGCAGAGGTTCGCTACCTCTTTCAATTATGTATGGCTGTCAGTGCTTCACTCTACCTGCACAAGCCAAGCATGATGGCATCATGCAATGCTCAAGGCTTTTTTCTGCCCTCTTCTGTCCTGACAATTAAACTGATTGGCAAAGGAAATCTATTGCTACTTTGTGATCATTTATTTCTGTAAACGCAGAGAACCAAAATCAAATCCATATTTAATTTTATTGCACACAACTGCGAAGTTAGTTGGCAATAGTCAAACGTTTAAGATGCATTAATTTTCCTCAGATTCATAGTATTTTGGCCTAAAAAGTCATTAGGAATTCCACAGTGGCCACTGTGCAAGATATTGCAGGTTGTTTCAGCTTTTACAAAGAATGTACAGCACAGAAACAGGCCTCTCTCAACTATCCGGTGCTTGTTACTCCGCACTAATCTTCGCCCATTCCATACTCGCTTCTATTCCCATCTTCCTCATGTGAAGGCTCAGCTTCCTCTTAAATGCTTAAATGCATCTACACTATCTGATTCAACCATCACTTTAGGCAGTGAGTTCCACAAGCTCACTACCCTCTGCATGAAAAAGTACCTCCTAACTTCTCTTTAGATCCCCTCCTCACTATCTTGTATCTGTGTCCCCTGGTTATGGACTCCCCAGCCAGTGGAACCAGCCTGTTACCTTTGGCTGCCACTATTGTGCTTTCCTTATAATGACTCTGTGATGTCACCATAAGCAGAAAGTTTTGTTTCCAAAGCAGACAGTAATTCTAGTTGCGAGGAGTTTGTCCATTTCCTCAGTGGTCTGCTTTATTAAGTTATACAGGAAAACATTCTATAGTATGAGATGGCTATTCCCAGTGCAGGAGACAGCTGAAGTCACAAAGCTGTTGTGCCAGTTATGTAACCAGGACTTAACAACGAGGCACATTAATGGTAACGCATTATAAGAAAGACCTTTCTTTTCGACCGGGCCTTTGGTCACTTTCCCACCCCTCCCCCGGCTCGGTCCCAGGATCCTAAACTGTAAAGCGCTCCGAAACGCCGTCCGGCGTGGAGGGCGCTATATAAATCCAAGTTGTTGTTGTAACCTGGGCAAGCTAAGTGCAGTTTCTGCTACTCAGCCAAATAAAAACAGTCCTAATAGAAAGGGAACTTTCTTCACGCAGTTCGAATCCAGCCCTAATAACTGAGCTAAATTTATACTACAGCAACTGGGCTGCAAACCAGGGGAATATGTCCTATTTATACGGTTGTTAATGCAATCTGTTAATAATGACACTATTGTCCAGATAGCCATATCATCTTACATCCAGCTGCAAAATAATTTTCTCTCCTTTTGAATCCTCTCCCAGTAATAGAACAGTAGCCCAAAGGTATGAATCAGTGTAATTTAGGCATTGCTTTTAAATGTCACCACCATTTTCTTTTTATTGAGATCATAATACATTAAAGATTATTATGGAATGTGGAAACATCAAATATTATTAAGGGCTGTAATTCTATCTTGAGCTTCAGATGATGCACATTAAACTATTGTGATTCATACTTATGATCTTTGTGGTCATCTGAAGGAACGTTTTGCCTTCATTAAAGGCTATTAATTCCACTGAATCCATATTTTGACATTTTCCATCTTATGTACTTTAAATTATCTATATTAAAATTCTTTCTCATAACAAATAATTATTTGATGTGATATTACTGCAGTTTTTCTCCAAGTCTCATAAAGCAGTTTAAATACACAACACAATTTAAATACACAGCCTTGGAAAATCTGTAAGCCATTTGAACAAACAATGCCTAGACTCCAGATATCTAAATTGGTGGCATTTACCCACAATTTTCAATCTTTTTAGTATAAATTAACTCCATAATTATTATTGACTAAAAGAGTACCACAATTGCAGTTTTTTCCATTTTTTTTATTACAGTGTTTAGCTTCTATCAGGAAGATGCTAAAAGCAAACACATTTTCAACTAAGAGCTATGCAATAGAAATCCAAATAGAAGTGTTTAAAATTATGAAAGGGTTGACAAGTTTAATATAAATAAGCTGTTTCCACTGATTTGGGAGACCATAATCAGGGACACAAATATAAGATAGCAACTAGAGGATCTAAAAGATAGTTTAGGAGGAACTACTTCACGCAGCTGTGGTTGAATCGGATAGCATAGATGCATTCATGAGAAAGTTACAACAACAACTTGCACTTGTTTAGTGCCCTACATGCAGGGTATCGTTTCAGAGCCCTTAACAGTGGTGGAGCCTGACTCTAAGGAGGGGGGAGGTGGCCGTAAGCACGGTCGAAGAGGAAAGTTTTCAGGCGGGACTTGAAAGAAGGGAGAAAAGGGGCAAGGCGGAGGGATTGAGGGAGAGTGTTCCAGAGTTTTGGGGCATAGTGGCTGAAAGCGTGACCTCTGGTGGTGGGCGGAGGGTGCGAGGGACGAGCAGGAGGACGGTCCCTCAAGCTAGACAACAACAACTTGTATTTATATAGCGCCCCTCACGAAGGGTAGCATCCCAGAGCGCTAAACCTTCACATGAGGGAGAGGGGAATAGTAGAGTGTGGGAGATAGTAAAGAATGGTTCAGGACTCATGCGGAGTATAAACACCGACACAGACTGATTGGGCAGCGTGGCCTATTTCCACGCTGTACATTCCTTGACTTTGACTGGTTGAAATCTATATGCTGTTGATTCAGGGTTAAAAAGAAACATAGGGACATCGGAAACCAGGTCCCAGAGAAGGCTATTCAGCCCATCAAGCCTGTTCCATCCTTTTATTAGATCTCAAGAGATTTTCTAATACCAATACCCCATCCTTTGTGTGAAGAAATGGTTCCTGACCACATATTTTACTGTATTTCGCTCAGATTTTAAGGCTACGTTCCCAACCCTAATTTGGTTCATTAAAAATAGGCTTGAGTATATAAATTTTAAATATGGTATAATTATAAGAGACAATGAAAAACCACACAATTCCAACATTACTCTGTGAGTGTGATCCTTAAAAGTTTTTTGGAATTATAAAGTTTTCCTCTTTCCTCAGAATGTATCCGTTCTTTCTCCACAGTACCTTTTAACACCAATTACTGAGGGGAAAGAAAATTGATAATAACCTGGAATCTTCTGGCCTGTATTGTCTAGTTCTATGATATTAAGGTTGGCTTAACCTCCAAAAGTAGTTTGCTGTTATCTTATATTTGATGGATCCCGAATAACCAGATCAAAGCTTTCATT